TTTAAATAAAATCTTGTCCTTGTTGTGTGTTAACCCAACAAGGACAAAGGACATCATAAGAAATTCACAGAAGAAAAATGAATGGTCAATAAACATGGAAAGAAGCTCAACTGTCTTAATCTGTAAAGATCTAATTTAATCCAGATTTTTCAGAATGACAAAAGTTAAAACTTGAAAATTGGTGTTACTAACCCTTTTTCAGATATCTCATTTGCAAGGATAGTATCCAAAATAAATAAAGAAGTTATAAAACTCAACACCCAAAAAACAATCCAGTTTGAAAATGGGCAGAAGACATGAATAGACACTTTTCCAAAGAAGATATACAGATGGCTAACAGACACATGAAAAAATGCTCAACATCACTCATCATCAGGAAAATACAAATCAAAACTACAATGAGGTATCACCTCACACTTGTCAGAATGCTAAAATTAACAACATAGGAAACAATATAGGTTGGCAAGGATGTAGGGAAAGATTGTTGGTGGGAATGCAAACTGGTGCAACCACTCTGGAAAACAATGTGGAGGTTCCTTGAAAAGTTAAACATAGACATACCCTACAATCCAGCAATTGCACTACTAGGTATTTATGCAAAGGATACAAAAATACTGATTCAAAGGGATACACACACCCCAAGGTTTATAGCAGCATTATCAACAATAGCCAAATTATAGAAAGTGTCCAAATGTCCATCAACTGATGAATGGATAAAGAAGGTCGGGTATATATGCAAAATGCAAAAGAATTTTACTCAGCCATAAAAAAGAATGAAATCTTGTCATTTGCAATGATGTGGAGGGAGCTATAGAGTCTTATGCTAAGTAAAGTAAGTCAAAGAAAGACAAATACCATATTATTTCACTCAGATGTGGAATTTAAGGAAAAAAAACAGATGAACATAGGGGAAAAAAGAGGGGCAAACCAGAAAACAGACTCTTAAATATAGAGAACAAACCAAGGGTTGCTGGAAGGGGAGTGGGTGGGGGGAATGGGTTAAATGGGTGATAGGCATTAAGGAGGGAACTTGTAATGAGCATTGGGTGTTTAATGTAAGTGATGAATCACTCAGTGATACACCTGAAACTAATATCACATTGTATGTTAACTGGAATTTAAAACTTGGGGGAAAAAGAAGCCTAGGCGGCACCTGGGTGGCTCAGTCTGTTAAGCATCTGACTCAATCTCAGCTCAGGTCTTGATCTCAGGGGTCGGACTCTGTTGTGCGGTGGGCAGCACCGGCTACTGGGAGCGCCGACATGCCTCGGTATGCGCAGCGGGTCATGGGCCCGGCAGGCAGCGAGAAGAGCACCTACTGTGCCACCATGGTCCAGCACTGTGAAGCCCTCAATTGGTCTGTGCAAGTTGTGAACCTCGATCCTGCAGCAGAACACTTCAACTATTCCGTGATGGCTGACATGCGGGAACTGATTGAGGTGGATGATGTCATGGAGGATGACTCTCTGCGGTTTGGTCCCAATGGAGGATTGGTATTTTGCATGGAGTACTTTGCCAATAATTTTGACTGGCTAGAGAACTGTCTTGGCCACGTAGAGGACGACTATATCCTTTATGACTGTCCAGTCTTGTCATGTTCTTCATGTAGGTCAGATTGAGTTGTATACGCACCTGCCTGTGATGTAACAGCTGGTCCAACAGCTGGAACAGTGGGAGTTCCGAGTTTGTGGAGTTTTTCTCGTTGATTCTCAGTTCATGGTGGAGTCGTTCAAGTTTATTTCTGGCATCTTGGCAGCCCTGAGTGCTATGATCTCTCTAGAAATTCCACAAGTTAACATCATGACAAAAATGGATCTGCTGAGCAAGAAAGCTAAAAAGGAAATTGAAAAGTTTCTAGACCCAGACATGTATTCTTTATTAGACGATTCTGCAAGTGACTTAAGAAGCAAAAAATTCAAAAAATTGACTAAAGCTATATGTGGACTGATTGATGACTACAGCATGGTTCGATTTTTGTCTTACGATCAGTCGGATGAAGAAAGCATAAACATTGTGTTACAGCATATTGATTTTGCCATTCAGTATGGAGAAGACTTAGAATTCAAAGAACCAAAGGAACATGAAGATGACTCTTCTTCTGTATTTGATGAATATTTTCAAGGACACCAGAAGGAATGAAGAATTTATCAGAGTAACTATATATGTGAAGCACTTGCTACTGAACCAGCAAGACATTCTTCTCTTAGAAGGATGCAATACTAGAAGGCTACCTATTTTAATGAAAAAAGCAATACTTGGCTCTTTATCAGCAGCATGCCTGAGTCAAATTCTAGTTATTTTGAAATGGCTGATGTTTCAAGTGGAATCTTTTAGTATTATTTTAACAACATCAATTTAGATTTTAAATGTTGAAATTGACATGAATGCACATAGACTTGTATATAAATGAGCATCAGTGGTACAGTTAGGACCCAGTCTGCCTTTATTTTTACTATTTGATTTTTATTATTTTTGAAGGTTTTTTGGAGAGGCAGGAATTATTGTAACAAAATATACACCTGTGTCCAAAGGAAAAAAATCTGGAAGGACATAGTTAAGACCATTGCTTATCTGTATGTCTGAGTTTTCTTACACTGAAAATGTATCAGGCGCCTGGGTGGCTCAGTGGGCGCCTGGGTGGCTCAGTTGGTTAAGCGACTGCCTTCGGCTCAGGTCATGATCCTGGAGTCCCTGGATCAAGTCCTGCATCGGGCTCCCTGCTCGGCAGGGAGCCTGCTTCTGCCTCTGACCCTCCCCCCTCTCATGTGCTCTCTCTCATTCTCTCTGTCTCAAATAAATAAATAAATCTTTAAAAAAAAAAAAAGAAATGTATCATTTGTGTAATTAAAAAGTGAAAAGTAAATGTTTTAAAATATATATATGTAGGGGCGCCTGGGTGGCTCAGTCGTTAAAAGAGTCTGCCTTTGGCTCAGGTCATGATCCCAGGGTCCTGGGATTGAGCCCCCCATTGGGCTCCCTGCTCAGCGGGAAGCCTGCTTCTTCCTCTCCCACTCCCCCTGCTTATGATCCCTCTCTCACTGTCTCTTTCAGTCAAATAAATAAAATCTTTTCAAAAATAAATAAATAATAATAAATAAAAAATATATATGTATATAAATAAAAGAAATAGAAAGGTCTTGATCTCAGGGTCATGAGTTCAAGCTCCATCGTGGACTCCATTGCTGGACATGGAGCCTACTTAAAAAAAAAAAAAAAAAGCAGCAGCCTAACAAAAGTTACTGGTGTTAATTGGAGTCAATTTAGTACTAGTATCTAGTGCTATTTTTAGATACCCATGCCCTTGACCTAATTTCACTTCTCAGTACCTACAGAAATATTTATACATGCACAAAAATATGTCTAAAGGTAGTCATTCACTCTGCCTTTCTTAAATACTGAAGAAATGGAAGTGCCCTTAACATTCACCGATATGGGAATCTAAAAAATATACGTATCTATGGAATTAAATGCAACAACTTTTTCAAGAATATTTTCTAAGACATTAAGTGAATAACTTATTATGTAAAAATTATATATGTAACATATGTATGCAAATGCACAGAAAACAGCCTAGTGACATACACACCTTGTACTGCACTGAATAATGTCCCACAAAAATTCATGTCTTTCTAGAACCCTAGAACGTGAACTTATTTGGAAATAGAGTCTTCACAGATATAATTAACCAAGTAAAAATGAGGTCACAGGGCGCCTGGGTGGCTCAGTTGGTTAAGCGACGGCCTTCGGCTCAGGTCATGATCCTGGAGTCCCGGGATCGAGTCCCGCATTGGGCTACCTGCTCAGCGGGGAGTCTGTTTCTCCCTCTCCCGCTCCCCCCTCTTGTGCTCTCTCTCTCTCACTCTCTCAAATAAATAAAATCTTTAAAAAAAAAATGAGGTCACAGTGGATTAGGGTGGGACCTAAATTCAATGACCGGTATACTTATATAAAGGTCATATGAAGACATACAGGGAAGAAGGTCATGTGAAGATGGAGACAGAGAGTGTGGCATTAGCTACAGGCCAATGAATGACAAGGACTGCTGGGAACCACCAGAAACTAGGAGAGAAGAATGGAACAGATTCTCCCTCAGAGGCTCCAGAAGGAAGCAACTTTGCCAACACCTTACTTTGAACTTCTGACCTCCTTGAACTGAGAGAAAAATTTGTTGTTTTAAGCCACCCATTTTGTGATAATTTGTTGTGGCAGTGCTAGGAAGCTAATTTACACCTGTTTAACAATGGTTAGCTCTAAGGAAGAGATTCTACATATTTCTATATTGTGAGAATTTATTACTGCATGGCTAATTTTTTTGCCAATAAAAATGAATTATCCACATTTTATGTCGGAAGTTTTGACTCTGCCCCTTAATAACTATGAAATCTTCAACAAGTAATTATACATATGAATGTCTCAATTGTTTTTTGTAAAATGGGGATAGTAACATCTACCCTCCTCACCTTCCAAGATGGTAGTGGAGTCCCCCTGTACCCTTTTTCTCTCACTGTCCACATCCATTCTTCCTCCAAAATGGTTCTATACTGACTATGAACACTTTTCCATTTACACTACCATCTCTGTCTCTAATTCATGTTGCCAGCCCCCAGCAGATTCATTTTACCAAAAACACCACTAAATGTTCCTTTTCTTTTTGAAGCCCTTCAACAATTCCTCATTAGATCCAAACTTCTTAGTAGTTCAAGACCTTCTACATTCTGAGCGCCACTTACCATCCAGCCTTATCAATCTCCACTGCTTCCTTGGTAGAGGGAAGCCAGGTTTGTGGATTATCCTTGAACCTTGAGCCTTGCCTTTCTCAGCCATGCCATTGTGTATGCTTACTCATGTAAATGGACTGTTCTCCATCCTAACCCCCTTTCCAGCTTTATGGCTTCTCCCATGGCCCCACAATAGAAGTATTTCACTGTCCTTTAATTTCTGTAGCACAAACCCTCAGTATTTTATGTATTTTAATCACCCCCCATTAAACTGCAAACTACTTTTGAGAAAAAGAACTTTATTCACGATGGTGCCTACCACACTATCTTATGGAGAGTAGGTGATCAATACATATTTGTCACATAAATGAATAACAGTGACAAAACACTTGACTTTTACAGAACTGATATGGGTTCTAAAGTTGTTTTAAATTATAAACAAAAATCATATTCTGCCAGTACATACCATACCATCATACTGGCTAAAATACTGAAATACTTCCCTACCAATGCTCCTTGCCACCTGAATGCCTCCCACTACCATTGTTGGCCTGTTTTCTCCTCCCCCAGGAACATCTGGGCTCCCGCACTCCCCTAACTAAAGAATTAATGTCTTCCACAGCGGGGAGCACTCAGGTCCCTGCCCCAGCCATATGGCCATATTCTGACTGATCAAGATATTTCAATAATTACCCCTTATTATATATAGTTTAACTACACAATTTGAAAATGAGGCTTCTTCTCACTGCAAAATCTCTTGCAAGAGTCAGCAGATCCAGGGATAGAAAGGAAAATGAAACTTTGTCAGTCTCTGAAGGTTTAGGGAACATCCCTTAGGACTCAATCTTCATGTAAACCAGAAGATAAGCAGTTTCTCTCCTAGAAAGAAAAAAAAATGCAACAGCATAACAGAAATGAAACATTCATAGTTAACTGACATATTATTAATTCATGATAGGACAAACATCAGAAAAGTTTCTGGTTGTTGGATCAAGTCTTTATCTATCCATCACCTCAGAAGGGAAAAAAATGGGTAACCTGGGAAAATAGACACTAAGCTTCTATTAGTTAACATCTGTATCAGGGGTTGACAAACTTTCAGCCCACAAGCCAAATCTAACCCTGTTTTTGCAAATAAATTTAACCAGAACACAGCCACACTCATTCATTCACATAGTGTCTGTGGCTGTTTTTGTGCTACAAGAACAGAGCTGAGTGGTTGCAACAGAGATTGTATGGCTCATAAAGCCTAAAATATTTACTCTCTGGCCCTTTACAGAAACAGTTTGCCAAACCCTGATTTAAATAATGGAAGAATTTCTGACAACCAGAAAGTGACAAAGAATGAGCATCTAAGGGAGATGTTCAGAAGAAAGAAAAGACAAAGATAAATAGAAGATTGTAAGAGGATTTCAAACACAAATTTTAGCTATTTCATTATTTTTCAAGTGATCAGGCCTACTACTGCAGCTAAAATCATTTCAAATATCATCTCTGGTATACAATGTCACCCCTAATCCAGAAACTCAACTGGAAAAACTTACAAAGTCTCTCTCCTTTAACTTCATCCAGAGGCACAGAGGTAAGATGGCAGAGGAGTGGGACCCTAATTTCATCTGGTCCTTGGAATTCAGCTATATAGCTATCAAATCATTCCTTTTTTTTAAATTTAAATTCAATTAGCCAAGGTATGGTACATCATTGGTTTTTGAAATAATGTTCGATGATTCATCAGATCAGTATAACACCCAGTGCTCATTGTATCGTTCTGAACACCTGTGAACTCAACTGGAGATCTAAGAAAAGAACTGCTGCAATTCTACAAATAGAAAAGTGACCACTTTTTGCAAGGTAGGAGGTGTGGAGAAGTGAATCTGAGGTGATATATGGGAAGATAAAACTCAGGGGGAGGAAGCCTCTATAGCTGGCTACCAGAAAGTGATATAAGCAGCGGAGTGTAAAATCAGAATTTTTAGAACTCTGTTACAGCGGAGGACATCCCTGCTTGAAAAGCGCTCATATGGCAAAGCAGGGCAGAATCCCAGGTGAGACGATATGGTCTCAGGATCCCCAGGGTCACAGATATAACAGGGTGCCTGAGTGTGGCAGAGTTCTCAAGCAGCAAGGAACCCGGCTGCAGAGAGCCCAGGAGTGGGTTTTCTGCTTGGTGTTGCCATAAACCTTGGACCGCTGCATGGTTGGGGGACCACTCTCGAAGCAGGGGTCCAGAAAAAGGCAAAACTGAGGCAAGAACCCCCTCCCTGCCCTGGGAGGAGCAGCATGGGTGTGCACCACAGGAGTCTGTAACAAATTTGGAGACTCAAAAGGGGGTCACATGCCTAAGATAAAAATGCTCCATCACAGGCTAGGTGAGCACTGCAGATGGAAACCAGGGAGACAAGAGTGATTGACTGCTTTTCCCTGAGGGCACACTGGGTAGTGGCGGGGCGGGGGTGGGGCGCAGTGCAAGCTTTCAACTCCAAGGCTGGAGATGGGGTCACCGTGATTTTCATTTTCATCCCCCAAATCAGTGCTGAAGCCTTCAGGGAACAAAACCCACACAGAGCAATCCAGAGCCATTTATACTGAGCTTAGCCCCCTTGGCAAGGGGGTGCAATACCGCCCAAGCAAAGACACGTTAGAATCAATGTAACAGGCCCCTCCCCCCAGAATATCAGCAAGAACATCTGGCTAATACCAAGTCTACTGACCATACAGTCCAGTGCTAGGAGAAAACCGTATGTAGAATTCATGGGTCTTTCTCATGATTCTTTAGTCTTTCACTTTTAAATTTTTTCCTTTTCACCTAATTTCTTATTTTATCAACTCTTTTTTAGGCGTTTTTAAATTTATACTTTTACATTTACATCTTACATATATTTACCATTTTTGGATTGCTTTCATTGTATTCAATTTTATTTTATTTTATTTTGTGTGTGTGTGTGTGTGTATATATATATATATGTTTTTTTCTTTACAAATTGGGATCTAGTTTCTTCTGATGAACAGACCAAAATACACCCAGGATCTAGTTTATTATTCTGTTTTGTTCATCTTCTGTTTTATTCTATTTTTTTTTTTGGCTTCTGATCTGATTAGTTTAGTGTATATTTTCCTGTATATTTGTCAGTGTATATTTAGAAAAATATTTTCCTATTTTTATCTTTTCTGCTCTCTTTCATCTATTCTTCTCTGGACACAATGACAATGCAGAAGAACTCAACCAAAAAAGAGAACAAGAGGCAGTACTCACTGACAGGGATTTAATCAATATGGATATAAGTAAGATGTCAGAACTAGAATTTTATAATAAAACAGAACTAGAACAATAATAAAGATACCAGAGGACTTGAAAAAAGCATAGAAGACATCAGAAAATCTCTTTCTGGAGAAACAAAAGAATTAAAATCTAATCAGGTTGAAATCAAAATGGTATGACTGAGATGCAATCCAAAATGGAGGCTCTAACTGCTGGGATAAATAATATAGTGATATAGAAGACAAAATTATGAAGAATAAAAAAGCTGAGAAAAAGAGATATAAACAACTATTGGATCACGAGGGAAGAATTCTAGAGATAAATGATACCATAGAGCAAAACAATATTACAATAATTGGGGTCCCAGGGGAAGAAGAGACAGACAGGGGGCAGAAGGTTTATTTGAGCAAAATACAGAGGAGAACTTCCCTAATCTGTGAAAGGAAGCAGGCATTCAAGTCCAGGAGGCCCAGAGAACCCCCCTCAAAATCAACAAAAATAGGTCAATACCTCAACATATAATGGTGAAGTTTGCACATTTCAGAGACAAACAGAAAACCCTGAAAGCAGCTCAGGACAACAGGTCCTTAATCTACAAGGGTAGAAACATAAGGCTGGCAGCAGACCTATCCACAGACCTGGCAGGCCAGAAAGGAGGGGCATGATATATTCAACATGCTAAAGGGGAAAAATATGCAGCCAAGAATACTTTATCCAGCAAGGCTGTCATTCAGAATGGAAGGAGAGATAAAGAGCTTCCAGAACAAACAGAAACTAAAAGAATTTGTGATCACTAAACCAGACCTGAAAGAAATATTAAAGGGGATCTTTTAAGTGAAGAGAGAGCCCAAAAGTAACAAAGTCAGAAAGAAAAGATGATCTAGAGAAACAGCAACTTTATAGTTAATACAATGGCACTCACTTCATATCTTGCAATAATTACTCTGAATGTAAATGGACTAAATGCTCCAATCAAAACACAGGGTATCAGAAAGGATAAAAACACAAGACCCATTGAAATGCTATCTATAAGAGACTTATTTTAGACCCAAAGACACCTCCAGATTAAAAGTGAGGAAGTGGAGAATCATTTATCATGCTAATGGATATCCAAAGAAAGCTGGAGTAGCAATCCTTATATCAGACAAAATAGATTTTAGACCAAAGACTGTAATAAGTGATGAAGAAGGGCACTCTATCATAATTAAAGGGTCTATCCAACAAGAAGATCTAGCAATTGTAAATCTTTATGCCCCTAGCTTGGAGCAGCCAATTAATAGGCCAATTAATAACAAAATTAAAGAAACACATTGATAATAATACAATAATAGGGGACTTTAACACCACACTCACAGCAATGGGCATATCATCTAAGCAGAATATCAACAAGGAAACAAGGGCTTTGAATGACACTCTGGACCAGATGAATGTCACAGATATATACAAAGCATTCCATCTTAAAGCAACAGAATACACATTCTGGAACATTCTCCAGAAGAGATCACATATTGGATCACAAATCAGGTTTCAACCAGTATCAAAAGAGTGGGATTATTCCCTGCATATTTTCAGACCACAGTGCTTTAAAACTTGAACTCCATCACAAGAGAAAATTTGGAAAGAACACAAGTATATGGAGGTCAAAGAGCATCGTACTAAAGATTATGAATGGTTCAACCATGAAATTAAAGAAGAATTTTTAAAAATTCATGGAAACAAATGAAAATGAAAATACAACTGCTCAAAATCTTTGGGATGCAGGAAAGACAATCCTAGAGGGAAGTACATAACAATACAGACCTTTCTCAATGAACAAGTCTCACATATAAAAGCTAAACTTACACCTAAAGGAGCTAGAGAAAGAACAGCAAATAAAGCCTAAAACCAGCAGGAGAAGAGAAATAATAAAGATTAGAGCAGAAATCAATGATAAGGAAAAAAAGAAAAGAGTAGGACAGATCAGTGAAATCAGGAGCTGATCTTTAAAAGAATAAGATCGATAAACCTCTAGCCAGACTTAACCAAAAAAGAGAGAGAGAGAGAGAGAGAAAGGCCACAAATTAATAAAATCATGAATGAAAGAGGAGAGATCACAACCTACACTAAAGAAATACAAACAATTATAAGACTATAGAGCAACAACATACCAACAAATTAGGCAATCTGGAGAAAAAGATGCATTCTTAGAAACATATAAACTACCAAAACTGAAACACAAAGAAATAGAAAACCTGATCAGACCCATAACCAGCAAGGAAATTGATGCAGTAATGAAAAAAACCTCCCAAATAACAGAGTCCAGGGCTGGATGTCTTCCCAGGTGAATTCTACCAAACATTTAAAGAAGAAATCATACCTATTCTTCTGTTTCAAAATATAGAAATGGAAGGAAAACTTCCAAACTCATTATAAGAGGCCAGCATTACCTTAATCCCCAAACCAAGGACCCCATCAAAAAGGAGAATTACAGACCAATATCCCTGACGAACATGGATGCAAAAATTTTCACCAAGATACTAGCCAATAGGATCCAACATTCAAAGGATTATTCACGAGGACCAAGAGGGATTTATTCCTGGGCTGCAAGGATGGTTCAACATCTGTAAATCAATCAATGTGATACACCACATTAATAAAGGAAAGAACAAGAACCATATGATTCGATTGATGCAGAAAATGCATTTGACAAAGTACAGCATCCTTTCTTGATTAAAACTCTCTACAATGTAGGGATAAAGGGAAATTCCCTCAATATCACAAAAGCCATATATAAAAAGCCCACAGTGAATATCATTCTCAATGGGGAAAAATGAGAGCTTTTCCCCTAAGGTCAGGTACATAACAGGGATGTCCACTCTCATCACTGTTGTTCAACATAGTACTAGAAGTCCTAGCCTCAGCAATCAGACAACAAAAACAAATAAAAGGCATCCAAATTGGCAATGAAGTCAAACTTTCACTCTTCACAGATGACATCATACTCTATGTGGAAAACCCAAAAGACTCCACAAAAAAACCTGCCAGAACTGATACAGGAATTCAGCAAAGTGGCAGGATATAAAATCAATGCATAAAAGTCCGTTGCATTTCAATACAGTAGCAATGAGGCAATAGGAATTGATCCCATTTCCAATTGCACCAAAACGTATAAATACCTAGGAATAAACCTAACCAAAGAGGTAAAGGATCTGTACTCTGAAAACTATAGGACACTTACAAAAGAAATTGAGGAAGACAAAAAGACATGGAAAAACGTTCCATGCTCATGGATTGGAAGAACAAATATTGTTAAAATGTCTATGCTCCCCAGAGCAATCCATCCACTCAATGCAAACCCTATCAAAATACCATCAACCCTATCAAAATACCATCAACATTGTGTTAGAAGAAATAATCCTAAAATGTGTATGGAACCAGAAAAGACCCCGAATAGCCAGAGGAATGTTGAAAAAGAAAACCAAACCTGGTGACATCACATGCTGGACTTCAAGCTATATTACAAAGCTGTAATCAAGATAGTATGGTATTGGCACAAAAACAGACACACAGATCAGGGGAACAGAATAAAGAGCCCAGAAATGGACCCTCATGTCTCTGATCAACTAATCTTTGACAAAGCAGGAAAGAATGTCCAATGGAAAAGAAGATAGTCTCTTCAACAAATGGTGCTGGGAACACTGGAAAGCCACATGCAGAAGAATAAAAATGGACCATTCTCTTACACCATGCACAGAGATAAACTCAAGGTGGATGGAAGACCTAATGTGAGACAGGAATTCATCAAAACCCTGCAGCAGAACACAGGCAGGATACTCTTGGACCTCAGCCCAGCAACTTCTTGCTAGATGCATCTCCAAAGGCAAGGGAAACAAAGGCAAAAATTACTTTTGGGACTTCATCAAGATAAAAAGCTTCTGCACAGCAAAGGAAACAGTCAACAAAGCTAAGAGGCAACCTACGGAATGGGAGAAGATATTTGCACATGTCTTATCAGATAAAGGGCTGGTATCCAAGATCTATAAAGAAATTCTCAAACTCAACACCCAAAAAAACAAATAATCTAGTCAAAAAAATGGACAGAAGACCTGAACAAACCTTCTCCAAAGAAGGCATACAAATGGCTAACAGACACATGAAAAAATGTTCAATATCACTAGCCATCAGGGAAATACAAATCAAAACCACAAGGAGATACAACCTTACACCATTTAGAATGGCCAAAATTAACAAGGCAGGAAACAACAAATGTTGGCAAGGATGCAGAGAAAGGGGAACCCTCCTACACTGTTGGTGGGAATGAAAGCTGGTACAGCCACTCTGGAAAACAGTATGGGGGTTCCTCAAGATGTTCAAAATTGAGCTACCCTATGACCCAGAGATTGCACTACTAGGTATTCACCCCAAAGATACAGATGTAGTGAAAAGGAGGGCCACATGAACCCCAACGTTCATAGCAGCAATGTCCACAATGGCCAAACTGTGCAAGGAGCCAAGATGCCCTTCAACAGATGAATGGATAAAGAAGATGTGGTTCATATATACAATGGAATATTACTCAGCCATCAGAAAGGATGAATACCCACCATTTGCATCGACATGGATGAAACTGGAGGGGATTATGCTAAGTGAAATAAGTCAAGCAGAGAAAGACAATTATCATATGGTTTCACTCATATGTGGACATAAGGAATAGAGTGGAGGACCATAGGGGAAGGGAGGGAAAACTGAATGGCAAGAAATCAGAGAGGGAGAGGAACCATGAGAGACTCTGGACTCCGGAAAACAATCTGAGATTTTCAGGGGGGTGGGGGGGATGGGGCAGCCGGGTGATGGGTATTAAGGAGGGCACATGTTGTGATGAGCATTGGGTGTTATATGCAACTAAGGAATCATTGAACACTACATCAAAAACTAATGATGCACTATACAGTGGCTAACAGAACAATGTTTTTTAAAAAGATGAAATAAATAAATAAACCCTTCATCCTGGGGCACCTGTGTGTCTCAGTCAGTTAAGTGTCTGCCTTCAGCTAAGGTCATGATCCCAGTGTCCTGAGATCGAGTCCTGCATCAGACTCCCTGCTCAGTGGGTAGTCTGCTTCTCCCTCCCCCTCTGCCTGCCACTCCCCCTGCTTGTGCTCTCTCTCTCTAAATAAATTTTTTTAAAAATCTTAAAAAAAAACCCTTCATCTGGCTTCTCTAGCTGCCCCCCTGTAGTTGTTGATTTTTAAAAACATATTTATAGCTATTTACTAAATGCAAGCCAGTGTACCGGACAAAGAGAAAGAATGATCCTTTATCCCAAATAGCTCATGGTCTAATATAAAAGAAAGTTATATATGAAAACAATTACAAATAGGGTGGTCCTTGCTATAAAGGACGTATGTTTAAAGTGCAGGGCAAGCATATGAGAAGCCCCTACAAATCTTCCAGCGTCAATCAGTGCAGGCTTTACAGAGTAGGAAAAGCCATGAGCAGAGATATAAAAGCATGAGTGGGTGTTTGCCTCAACAATAAACTAGGAGAGGAGAAACAGACCAGGAATTGCATGTGCAAGCAATGGAGGATATGATGTTTGGGGAGTAGTTATACTTTAGTATTATTGGCATCTAAATTGTGAAAAATGCATGGTACGGTGAGATGTGTAATGAGAGATGAGGCTGAACACCTAGTCACTGGAGAGTTACCCAAATACAAGTGGCAGCTGAATCCATGGGAGTTTCATACAGCAATAAGAACCCTGTGTAAACTCATTGGGTTTCCATCACTCAAACACTTACCAGCGGTAGTTATGATTTCCATAAGTACACTGGATGTCTTCCCAGGATACCTAGAAGTACATAAATAGATGAAGTGAAGCATCCAGCTGACATCTGTTAAGCACCCGGAGAGTATGGGGTGCTACAATTTACCCTCCCTCACTCATCCAGACAAACCCACCCCTGTACCTCTCAAGACCTGGATCATCCGGTGATAGGATGCCATGTTTGTTTGTTTTTTTAATTCTTATGTTAATCCCCATACATTACATCATTAGTTCTAGATGAAGTGTTCCATGATTCATTGTTTGTGCATAACACCCAGTGCTCCATGCAGAATGTGCCCTCCTCAATACCCACCACCAGGCTAACCCATCCTCCCACCCCCCTCCCCTCTAGAACCCTGTTTGTTTTTCAGAGTCCATCATCTCTCATGGTTCGTCTACCCCTCCGATTTCCCCCGCTTCATTCTTCCCCTCCCGCTACCTTCTTCTTCTTCTTTTTTTTTTTTCTTAACATATATTGCATTATTTGTTTCAGAGGTACAGATCTGAGATTCAACAGTCTTGCACAATTCACAGCGCTTACCAGAGCACATACCCTCCCCAGTGTCTATCACCCAGGCACCCCATCCCTCCCACCCCACCTCCCACTCCAACAACACTCAGTTTGTTTCCTGCGATTAAGAATTCCTCATATCAGTGAGATCATATGATACATGTCTTTCTCTGTTTGACTTATTTCACTCAACATAATACCCTCCAGTTCCATCCACGTCGTTGCAAATGGCAAGATCTCATTCCTTTTGATGGCTGTATAATATTCCATTGTATATATATAACACATCTTCTTTATCCATTCATCTGTCCATGGACATCTTCGCTCTTTCCAGAGTTTGGCTATTGTGGACATTGCTGCTATAAACATCGGGGTGCACGTACCCCTTCAGATCCCTACTTTTGTATCTTTGGGGTATATACCCAGTAGTGCAATTGCTGGATCATATGGTAGCTCTATTTTCAACTTTTTGAGGAACCTCCATACAGTTTTCCAGAGTGGCTGCACCAGCTTGCATTCCCACCAACAGTGTAGGAGGGTTCCCCTTTCTCCACATCCCCACCAACATCTGTCGTTTCCTGACTTGTTAATTTTAGCCATTCTGACTGGTGTGAGGTGGTATCTCATTGAGATTTTGATTTGGATTTCCCTGATGCTGAGCGATATTGAGCACTTTTTCATGTGTCTGTTGGCCATTTGGATGTCTTCTTTGGAAAAATGTCTGTTCATGTCTTCTGCCCATTTCTTGGTTGGATTCTTTGTTCTTTGGGTGTTGAGTTTGATGAGTTCTTTATAGATTTTGGATACTAGCCCTTTATCTGATATGTCATTTGCAAATATCTTCTCCCATTCTGTCGGTTGTCTTTTGGTTTTGTTGACTGTTTCCTTTGCTTTGCAAAAGCTTTTTATCTTGATGAAGTCCCAATAGTTCATTTTTGCCCTTGCTTCCCTTGCCTTTGGCGATGTTTCTAGGAAGAAGTTGCTTCGGTTGAGGTCAAAGAGGTTGCTGCCTGTGTTCTCCTTTAGGATTTTGATGGACTCCTGTCTCACATTGAGGTCTTTCAACCACTTGGAGTCTATTTTTGTGTGTGGTGTAAGGAAATGGTCCAGTTTCATTCTTCTGCATGTGGCTATCCAATTTTCCCAACACCATTTATTGAAGAGACTGTCTTTGTTCCATTGGACATTCTTTCCTGCTTTGTCGAAGATTAGTTGACCATAGAGTTGAGGGTCCATTTCTGGGCTCTCTATTCTGTTCCATTGATCTATGTGTCTGTTTTTGTGCCAGTACCATGCTGTCTTGATGATGACAGCTTTGTAATAGAGCTGGAAGTCCGGAATTGTGATGCTGCCGGCTTTGCTTTGCTTTTTCAACATTCCTCTGGCTATGCGGGGTCTTTTCTGGTTCCATACAAATTCTAGGATTATTTGTTCCATTTCTTTGAAAAAAGTGGATGGTATTTTGATGGGGATTGCATTGAATGTGTAGATTCCTCTGGGTAGCATTGACATCTTCACAATATTTGTTCTTCCAATCCATGAGCATGGAACATTTTTCCATTTCTTATGTCTTCCTCAATTTCTTTCATGAGTATTTTATAGTTTTCTGAGTACAGATCCTTTGCCTCTTTGGTTAGATTTATTCCTAGGTATCTTATGGTTTTGGGTGCAATTGTAAATGGGATCGACTCCTTAATTTCTCTTTCTTCTGTCTTGTTGTTGGTGTATAGGAATGCCACTGACTTCTGTGCATTGATTTTATATCCTGCCACTTTACTGAATTCCTGTATGAGTTCTAGCAGTTTTGGGGTGGAGTCTTTTGGGTTTTCCACATAAAGTATCATATCATCTGCAAAGAGTGAGAGTTTGACTTCTTCTTTGCCAATTTGGATGCCTTTGATTTCTTTTTGTTGTCTGATTGCTGTGGCTAGGACTTCCAATACTATGTTGAATAGCAGCGGTGATAGTGGACATCCCTGCCGCGTTCCTGACCTTAGGGGGAAAGCTCTCAGTTTTTCCCCATTGAGAATGATATTCGCTGTAGGTTTTTCATAGATGGCTTTATGATATTGAGGTATGTACCCTCTATCCCTATACTCTGAAGAGTTTTGATCAAGAAAGGATGCTGTACTTGGTCAAAAGCTTTTTCTGCATCTATTGAGAGGATCATATGATTCTTGTTCTTTCTTTTGTTAATGTATTGTATCACATTGATTGATTTGCGGATGTTGAACCAAGCTTGCAGCCCAGGGATAAATCCCACTTGGTCATAGTTAATAATCCTTTTAATGTACTGTTGGATCCTACTGGCTAGTATTTTGGTGAGAATTTTTGCATCCATGTTCATCAGGGATATTGGTCTGTAGTTCTCCTTTTTGATGGGGTCTTTGGTTTTGGGATCAAGGTAATGCTGGCCTCATAAAATGAGTTTGGAAGTTTTCCTTCCGTTTCTATTTTTTGGAACAGTTTCAGAAGAATAGGTATTAATTCTTCTTGAAATGTTTGGTAGAATACCCCTGGGAAGCCATCTGGCCCTGGGCTTTTGTTTTTTGGGAGATAGGATGCCATGTTTATGAAGCCTCTTTTATACCCTGTTTCCTCTATTTAAACTTGATTGTGCTTGGTTCTAACTTACATATATCTAACTCTTCTTGCTTTCTGTAAATTTCCCAGAGCATGAAGACACCAAAAAACCTAGACACTGAGCTAAGTGAACTCTCACAGGGCTATACATCAGATGGGGACTTCATGCAGAAAAGGACTTTAAGCAGAATCAGACCTATAAACAGAACAAATCGATGGTTGCCAGAAGGGAGGCAGGGATGGGCAAAATGGGTGAAGAAGAGTGAAAGATACAGGCTTCCAGTTATGGAATAAATAAGTCACAGGAATAAAAGGACACCTGTGTTTCTCAGTCAGTTAAGCATTCGACTTGATTTCAGCTCAGGTCATGGTCTCAGGGTTGTGAGATGGAGCCCCACATAAGGGCTCTGTGTGGAGCCTGCTTGGGATTCTCTCCCTATGCCCCACCCCCGCTTGTTCTTTCTCTCTCTTTCTCAAAAAGAAAAAGGCACAGCATAAGGAATATAGTCAGTGATACTGTGATAGCATTGTACAGTGACAGATGGTAGCTACACTTGCAGAGAGCACAGCATAATGTATAAACATGTTGAATCACTATATTGTACACCTGGAACTAAGGTAACATTGTGTCAACTATACTTGAATTTAAAAAAGCTTTTTATAGGGAAAAGGACTGTTTAAAGTCCCCCACACACAGAGAGAACTGGCCCACAATGTATCCTGACCTTGAGGACCCATCTAGTCCTGGGCTCAGAATCTATTAGAGGTGGCTAATCCAGGACAAGAGGAAATTTTGGATGATGTTCTCACCCAAGAAACACTGGAATCGTTGAAGCAGAACCATTTTCCATCCACAGAATTCTGGATATAGGCACAGTAATGACCAAAATCAGCTGCCCCCACATGGGCAACCACAGCAAAGAGCTCGTACTGTCTTCCAAGCTGGAAGGACACAAGGCACAAAATTATTCACCCATCATCTCTCCTTTTCTAACCATAGTCTAAAATAAAGACACATTATTTCATCACATTTATTTAGTGCCCACTCTGTACCAGGCAATGGTACTTCAAGGGGGCTAGAAAATAGTCCTTGAACTCAAGAATCTCACAATTAATTAAGTCACAATTATAATGCCATGCCCCCCAAAAGGAGAAGGAATAATCATCTGAGAAAAGCTCCCCAGAGAGGACATGTCTGAATTGATCTTGAAGGATGAACAAGACTAGCAGATAAGTTCTAGGTAGGGAGTATACTCGAATGGACCCCAAAATTGCAAAGACTTGGCAGCATAGCAGAACAGAGCATGTTGAGGAAATGGGAGTCAGAGAGGGTGCTGGGAAGTCACAAGATATGTGGCTACAAAGGTTAAGTCAAGAATTAGAACTTTAGGGGTGCCTAGGTGGTCCAGTTGGTTAAATGTCTGCCTTTGGCTTGGGTCATGATCCAGGGGTCCTGGGATCATGCCCGTGTCAGGCTCCCTGCTCAGTGGGGAGCCTGTTTCTCCCTCTGCCCCTCCCCCTGCCCGTGCTTTCTCTCAAGTAAATAAATAAAATCTTAAAAAAAAAGAATTAGAACTTTATTGCTTTATAGTTTCAAGCTGTTTATTTAAATTTCAGTTAGTCACACCAAAAGGATATGGAGAAGGAACAGTAAATAAAGCCTAAACCAAGCAGGAGAAAAGAAATAATAAAGATTAGAGCAGAAATCAATGAAATAGAAACTAGAAGAACAGTAGAACAGATCAACAAAACTAGAAGCTGGTTCTTTGAAAGAAGTGATAAGATCAATAAATGTCTGGCCACACTTATCCAAAAGAAAAGAGGAAGGACCCAAATTAATAAAATCATGAATTAAAGGGGAGAAATCAGAAGCTATATGCCAACAAACTAGGGAATCTGGAAGAAATGGATGCATTCCTGGACACTTATAAACTACCAAGACTGAAACAGGAAGGAAAAGACAATCTGAACAGAGCAATAACCAGCAAGGAAATTGAAACAGTCATCAAAAATCTCACAAAAAACAAGAGCCTAGGGCCAGATGGCTTCCCAGGGGAATTCTACCAAATATTTAAAGAAGAAATCATACCTATTCTTCTGAAGCTGTTCCAAAAAAATAGAAATGGAAGGAAAACCTCCAAACTCATTCTATGAGGCCAGCATTACCCTGATCCCCAAAAGAGACAAAGATCCTACGGAAAAGGAGAATTACAGACCAATATCCCTGATGAACATGGATGCCAAAATATTCACCAAGATCCTAGCCAACAGGACCCAACAGTACATGAAAAGGATTATTGACCACGACCAGGTGGGATTTTTTTCCTGGGATGCAAGGGTGGTTCAACATTCACAAAGCAATCAACGTGATAGATCACATTAACAAAAGAAGAGACAAGAACCACATGATCCTCTCGATGCAGAATAAGCATTTCACAAAATACAGCATCCTTTCCTGATTAAAACTGTTCAAATACAGGGATAGAGGGAACATACCTCAACACCATAAAGCCATCTTTGAAAAGCCCACTGCACATATCATTCTTAATGGGGGAAAACAGACTTTTTCCCTTGAGGTCAGAAACATGACAGGGATGACCACTGTCACCACTTTTGTTCAACACAGTACTAGAAGTCCTAGCCTCAACAATCAGACAACAAAAAGAAATAAAATGCACTCAAATTGGCAAAGAGGGGCGCCTGGGTGGCTCAGATCGTTAAGTGTCTGCCTTCGGCACAGGTCATGATCCCAGGGTCCTGGGATCAAGCCCCACATCAGGCTCCTGGCTCAGCGAGGAGCCTGCTTCTCCCTCTCCCTCTGCCCCTCTCTCTGCTCATGCTTTCTCTGTCTCTATCTCTGTGTCTCAAATGAATAAATAAAATCTTTTTAAAAATGGCAAAGAAGAAGTCAAACTCTCTCTCTTCGCAGACAACATGATACTTAATGTGGAAAACCCAAAAGACTCTACCCCAAAATTACTAGAACTCATAGAGCAATTCAGCAATGTGGCAGTATACAAAACCAATGCACGGATCAGTTGCATTTCTATACACTAACAATGTGACTGAAAGAAGAGAAATTAAGGAATTGATTCCATTTACAATAGCACCAAAAACCGTAAGTTACCTAGGAATAAACCTAACCAAAGAGGTAAAGGATCTATACTCCAAAAACTACAGAACAGTTATGAAAGAGATTGAGGAAGACACAAAGAGATGGAAAAACATCCCATGTTCGTGGACTGGAAGAATAAACATTGTGAAAATGTCTATGCTGTCCAGAGCAAGCTACACATTCAATGCATCCCTTTAAAATCCCATTGAGAGGGGAGGAGCAAGATGGCAGAGGAATAGTAGACCTAAATTTCATCTGGTCCCAGGAATTCAGCTATATAGGTTATCAAACCATTCAGAACACCTACAAACTCAACAGGAGATCAAAGAAAAGAATAGCAGCAACTCTATGAACAGAAAAGCGACCATTTTCTGGAAGGTAGGACATGTGGAGAAGTGAATCCAAGGCGATACTGAGGAGGATAGACGGCGGGGGAGGGGGCCTCCATCGGCCACTTCTGGCAAGTGACAGAGCAGCACAGCACAAAATCAGAACTTTTAGAAGTCTGCTCTACTGAGGGATGTTGCTCCAGTGGCTAAGCCAGGGGTAGAATCCTCGCTCAGACAGTGTGGTCTCAGGACCCTCAGGGTTCAAAGAAAGACCTGGGGTGCCTGAGTGTGGCAGAACTCCCAGGTATCAGAGCAGGGAAGCTGCCTGCAGAAATGGAGCCGAGGAGCGGGCTCTCAGCTCGGGGTTGCCATAAACCGTGATCCACGGCACAGTCGGGCCACTGCTCTTCCAGCAGGGACCCAACAAGCAGCAGATCCGGGGAGACTCCCCTTCCTCCCCCGGGAGGAGCAGCACAGGAGCACACCACAGGAATCTGCTGGGTCTGGAGACTCCAAACGGAGCTGTGTGCCAGAGATAGAAATGCTCAGTCACAGACCGGATGAGCACAGAGTGCGGCCGGAGACCAGGGAGATGGGAGTGACTGACTACTTTTCTCTGGGGGCTCACTGAGGAGTGGCGCCCCAAGTTCTCAGCTCCTCCGGGGCGGAGATTAGGAGGCCGCCATTTTTTGTCTCATCCTCCAAAGTTGTGCGGAAAGCTTTCAGGGAACAAAAGCTCCCAAGAGCAAACCCGAGCAGATTACTTAGCCCAGCCCCCGGCAAGAGCGGGGTAATTCCACCTCCGGCAAAGACATTTGAGAACCATGGCAACAGGCCCCTCCCCCAGAAGATCAGCAAGAACAGCCAGCCAAGACCAAGTTTACAGATCAATGAGAACAGCAGAACTCCAGCGCTAGGGAAATACCACACATAGAATTCATGGCTTTTTTCCCATGATGCTTTAGTCTTTCAAAGTTAATTTTTTTTTTAAGATTTTATTTATTTATTTGAGACAGAGAGAATGAGAGAGAGAGAGCATGAGAGGGAGGAGGGTCAGAGAGAGAAGCAGGCTCCCCGCTGAGCAGGGAGCCCGATGCGGGACTCGATCCAGGGACTCCAGGATCATGACCTGAGCCGAAGGCAGTCGCTTAACCAACTGAGCCACCCAGGCACCCTAATTTTTTTTTAAAGATTTTATTTATTTATTTGAGAGAGAGAGACACAGCGAGAGAGGGAACACAAGCAGGGAGAGTGGGAGAGGGAGAAGCAGACTTCCTGCGGAGCAGGGATCCCAACGCAGGGCTCGATCTCAGGACCCTGGGATCATGACCTGAGCCAAAGGCAGATGCTTAATGACTGAGCCACCCAGGTGTCCCTCAAAGTTAATTTTTTTAATTTTTTTTTTGTTTTATTTGAATTTTTCTTCTTTCCTTTTTCAACCAACATCTTATCAATTCCTTTCTTAAAATCTTTTTTAATTTTTCATTTTTACAGTCATATTCTATCTCTTCATTGTATTTAACCTTATTTTTTGTATATATATGTTTTCCTTTCTTTAAAATTTTGGGATACAGTTTCTTCTAACAGACCAAAATATACCCTAAATCTAGTGTATGACATTGTCCTAGTCTCCCACCTGATCACATTTAAAAAATTTTTTTTTCATTCTTTTTTCAACCAACTTCTTATCTTACCAATTCCTTTTTTAAAATCTTTTTTTTAATTTTCATCTTTACAGTCATATTCCATCCCTTCATCGTATTTACCCTTATTTTTGTATATATATATATGTTTTTATTTAAAATTTTGGGAGGCAATTTCTTCTAACAGACCAAAATACACCCAAAATCTAGTGTGTGGCTGTTATATTCACCAGCCTGATCATATTCTTTCTTTTTTTTGGTACCCCCTCTTTCTCCCCGCCCACCCTGTTTTGGGTCTCTTCTGATTTGTTTAGTGTATATTTTTCTGGGGTCGTTGTTATCCTTTTAGTATTTTTTTTTAACATTTTGTTCTCTCATTCGTCTATTCTCCTCTGGACAAAATGACAAGATGGAAAAAAATCACCTCAAAAAAAAAAAAAAAGAACAAGAGGCAGTACCAACTGCCAGGGACCTAATCAATACAGACATTAGTAAGATGTTGGACTAGAGTTCAGAATGATGATTATAAAGATATTAGCTTGGCTTGAAAAAAGCATAGAAGATACTAGAGAATCTCTTTCTGGAGAAATAAAAGAACTAAAATCTAATCAAGTCAAAGTCAAAAAGACAATTAATGAGGTGCAATAAAAAATGGAGTCTCTAACTGCTAGGATAAATGAGGCAGAAGAGAGAATTCGTGATATAGAAGACCAAATGATGGAGAATAAAGAAGCTGAGAAAAAGAGATAGATAACTATGGGATCACGAGGTGAGAATTCAAGAGATAAGTGATACCATAAAGCAAAACAACAGAATAACTGGGATCCCAGAAGAAGAAGAAAGAGAGAGAGGGGC